GTTTTGATAGTGTGACTTTTAGTTTGTCTTTGGAAGGCTATGGGTTTGGTTTAGTTAAGTTTGGAAATTCCGCGAGTATATCTTGGAATTTCGCTGTTGTTACTGGAGGAGTTTGAATCAAGTTAAGAGAGCTGATGTGACTTTCTTTGCCTTTTGTGTAATACGAATTTTCTTGTAGTGTTAATCGCCGTTTCTTGGTGTCAACTAGAAATTCGTATCTCTAGAACGTCCATCCCCAGTATTGCCAGATCTAAGTCGGCTACCGTGAAAACCCAGATGAATTGCCTCCTGAACCCAAAATCTAGGGGTTACTCGTTTCCCGCTGTCTTAGAATTATGCTTAGGCCAGGCGCATGGTTGCATGCACTTGGTTGAGTTGACACCAAACTTCCAGTGGTACCAACAAAACTGCCCAAATTGTCTGGACATTTGTGACCTGTTTTGTGACTTGGATCGTGGTCGTTGTGGTGACCTGCCCCTGTTTCTATGACCCATTTGCATTCTGGTGACAGCCTCAGCGAGACTCTTAACACTCGCAATGAGTCCTTCCATGGCGGGGTCTTTTGCTGATTCTACATTTTGTGTGTGATTTATTGTGCCTAATCCAGTTGGAGGACCTCTTTCCATTATTCTATCGGCTATACGCGCTAAATGAGATAATGAGGTTTCAGGATCTTGTGCATCCAAACAGTGTTGGACGTAGCATGAAAGAGCTTGTATCCATCCTTGTTTTAGGACTGCTTCACCCACTGTGTTATCACCCACTAAGACTTGGAGGTGACGTAAAAACTGTGACGGCGACTGATCACCTAGTGTTTCACCTTGAAAAAGTCTTTTGATTCTTTGACTATCTGATAATGATAAACGGTTCATTATCTCTCGTCTTAAGATGGTGTATGGTTGTGGTGATGGTGGATCTAAAATCAAGTCACGGACCTCTTTGGCGACTGAAGGAGGAAGGATAGAACACAAGTCTCTATAGCGAATCCCTTCAGATTTGATATTGTGTCTCGTGAAATAATGCTCTAGTTGAGCAAACCACAACTCAGGATCACTACGATCAAATTCTGGAAGTCGGGATTTCGTAGTCATAACAGTGTCTATCTCCACTGGTGACAAATCCTCCAGATTATGGGTTTCTATTGAGTCTGACATGAGGTATGTGACAAATATAGCAATAAAGTTAGCACAAAAAGTGGTTACTATAACACGAATAACTTAAGATAATACGGAATAAACTAGTTATATACTCAAATTAGTTTACGGATAATCAGGTCTACTTTTACGATTAAGTAAAAAAAATGTTAATAACAGAAATGAGGTTAAATTTGTGTTCAAAAAGGGCTCACCAATTTCGTGCCTTGAAGTAACCCTCGTGCTATTGATAGAAGAAACCAGACAAGTAGTGAATATGTCTTTATTTCGATCTTCGCACAGTGGAGCGTGGGATTATCTGTTCAGACAAACAAAGGCTCTCAACATTCAAGATAATAGGGAATATAACGCTTATGAAAAATAAGGAAGTGAATGAATACTTGAGCAATACTGTTTTGGTATATGCTTGGTTGTTTGGCGTCAACTCTTAACCAACCAACCTGAGCTGTTACACTCTCTTTGTCTTTGGTTTGGTATTTGGGAGTTTTGCTCCGGGAACCTACAAAATTGAAGAAAGACATTTGGTCGACTATTAGTGAATTACGAATAAATTTGGTATCTAAATTGGAGTTTGGTTCTGCTGTTAATTTGGGTTCGTAATTTGCAAGTAGATCGATAGTTCATACTTCAGTAACTAGAACGAGCAAAACTTGGACGTAACACTCAGGATGAAGCTTCTTGCTGTCCAGAACCTCCTGAGGCGTCGATGTTCATTCTTCTTTGATCCCCTTTAGTCGTAATTTCTTCTTCGTTGAGTAGATCTGGTATGGGTTGGAACCGGTTGTTTTGAGTTATCTTGAATTCGTTGAGTTGGTCAGTATGTCGATAGAAGGCTGTACTGAACCTTTGTAATGCTGTTTCTGTAGTTGTCAAATGCTTCTTTAGCTTTCATCTAGGCCACAACCAGGTGGTCAGCTCCTCTCCTGTATCATACGTCCTCCATTGACCTTCCGAATCTTTTAGAGATGCAAATATGATCTATCTGGTTCTCTGTGATGTGATCCGGTGAAACCCATGTAGCTTTGTGTATGAGTTTGACTAGAAATAATAGGCAGCCTATTACCAATTTGTCGAATGCTCATAAGTTTACGAATCTCTCACCATTATCGTTCCTTTCACATAGTCCAAGTCGTCCCACGATGCATTCATAACCGTCGTTGTCCATTTCAAGTTTGGCAACTCTCTGAGTGTGTGGAGCGCTAGCTTCTTCGTGATCGAGTACAGCAGCAACTCTCTTGAATGCAATCTCTTCTGTCTAGCTTCGGTCCAACGCGTTTTACTGTGTCGGAACACCATCAAGTTGTATCAACTCATTTCCGTTGCTATTTGACTACTCTCACATTGTCCACAGGTTCCATGTACCTATGAAAATTGTTACTCTGGTTGATAGCAGGGGCGTCGGCCTTGTGATTTCTGAAGAATCTTGGCTTTCACTATTAGGCTTCACAAGATCCTCCAACTCCCAGGGCTGAGCTTACATGGTTTGATTTGTTTGGTCTGGTTGGCGTTATTTTAGCACAATTTGTTTTGAGGGATGGTGTTGCCGACCCTATGCTCAGCCCCTCTTCACTCGGGCTTGAGACCAGCAGTAACTATAGGAGGGCTTCAGAGTGAGTTCGCGTTAGTACACTTCTGTATGCCATGGTGTGACTAACTAAACCATGAAACCTCATGGGAAGATACGTCACTTTCTATACTGACTAGTCCTGTCGTGATCTCAGGTTATTACGGCTAAAGAATGCATTTGTGCTAGGAATAGAATATGATATTTATTATGAAGAGCAAGAGAGTACATCGCGGTGACCACATCTTCAAGCCCGAGCCATACCATACCGCGCACACCATGTTTTTGACCTGTATTATGGTGTTAAATGACGAATGTAAGCCTCCTGTTATTATGTCTGGATGTTGTCTACATAGACTTCAGCAAAGCATTTGACAAGATGCTAATAAATAGACTGCTATTGAAGTTAGAAGATATTGATATTGTCGGACCTCTATTAAAATGGCTTAAAGATTTCCTAGTAGGTCAAGGACAGAAAGCAAGAATAAATTCATAGTGCTCCACATGAAGATCAGTACTTAGTGGAGTACCTCAAGGTTCTGCCCAAGGTCCCTTACTTTTTACACTTTATGTAAATGACCTCCCAAGTATAGTAGAGTCCTAATGTTGTTATACACTGACGATGTAAAACTCTGGTGAGAAATAACGGGAGACGTAGATGCATGTGCACTCCAAGCAGACCTAAAAGGGGTGACTGATGCCTATCAACGCAGTAAATAATGTGTACATGCATTTTCGGGTTAGTAGATACAGCATAGGGGAAGTGCCTGTATCCAATATCTGGTCTCACAGAGATCATGGGGTAACCGCGAGTCATGACCTTAAGACCGCGACCCGCGGCTGCGTGATCGCAGTTAAGAGGTTGAAGTTGCCACATGTATTCGGAGTTTGACAACGCTTTAACCAGTAACACCTAGTATGAACCGTACCTACCAAGTGAAATCAGAAGACAGAAGGGAGGAGGTTCGAAGATATATTTGATAGGCTATCAATATATCGAGGATCGTCTGATCTAATCTGACTAGCGATTTCAGGGGTTGTTGAACATGGCGTTCCCACTCGTGATCTGATGCTGATGCATGACCGAGCGCTTTCAGCTAGGTGAGTCCATTAAAACTAATGTGGTCAGCATCCAATGTCGGAAACTTACAGAGCTATTTATTTTGGTTTTTTTACCGCTACAAGGTTTACAACCCTATGGGCTTTAAGGCAGACATTCACCAAGATAGATACTGCCATTTTCACCAAAATATACTGTAGATCACCAACGTAGATGATCTATGTCGAAATGATTGGAGGCCTACTCGAGTTAGACGTAAATAGTGTGACGAACTAGTTAATGACGAGGTCACACCTCGTGGTCATCACCTTACGTGGACTACCCCATTGACATATCAAGGTATCATAGATGCTTTGAAGACTGTAAAACACAGAGGACGTAATTACAGAAATATGTTAGTTAAAGTAGATAAAAGCGAAAGCGAGACCACTGCCGCATGGGCCAGTCCACGGTACACGATTAACTGATGCGCGTTGGTTGTCACTGACCTTGACGAGGATCGATGATTTGCTCGATTCCCAATGACCCAACTACCGGATGATTTGGCTAGGACTTAGTAACATTTCGCTTGCCCTACAATAAAAATCCTTGGTGAGAACTAAGTTTGAAAACTGGGTTCAGGTTGCAAGCTATTTTTTAAGAGGTGGCCCGGATATACTGTAAAATGTACAGATTGCAGCTACTCGTGCAAGTTTCCAGAACTCCGGGGTTTACCGTATAAAGAACGGCTTGAAAAGTTAGACCTCTTTACTCTGTTTTATCGCAGATTAAGAGGTGATCGGATTTTGATGTATAGAATTCTAAAAGTTATTTTGGGCCTAACATCTCGAGGGGATCCCCTCTTTTTTTCCACATTAAATCGGGACATTTCAGAGGACATAGCAGGCGAGTAGAAAAGTCTAGAATGAATAAAATACCCGTGGCTTACAGGTTTTCTCGCCGAGTCATCAATTCCTGAAACCAGTTACCTGACTCATTCAAGAGAATACCAGACATTCACAGAAGCATGCTGGAAAAGGAATAACATGGGCCGTAGGTTTTCTGTCTTTAATACACAAATGTGAATCTGAAATCCGATTGATCGTCCTCAGGGATCATGTCGCTGAAAACCAATACCACTGCAGAACATGTAAAAAATTGTACACAACAGACACCTAGAATCGTAATTAAGCAACTATAAGACATTAGAAAGAAATTATTTGGTTCACAATAGTTCGTCACAAAGATATTGGGCATTGAATCGTTGTCGACTAGATTAACGCTACTCATGCTTCGTGTAAATACCCAATTGTTTTTTCTACTGTCTGTATCTGAGTCGTTTAAGGTAGATTCTGAACGTGTGTTTTTCTCCTAAATGCTAACTTTTAGGCGGTTCTACTATTGCGTTTTGTTAATTTTCCATTTCTTTTGTGAAGATCCATTGATCATTCCCTAAAGATATTTAGAGAACGAGGAATTTTCTCTTTTTGTCGCTCTGTGTTTAACATATGTTACAAGTATTATTTCCATAACAAACTACTTGACGACTACAGTTGGCAACATCAGAAAATGGTACATATTTAAAGAATCGTGATAGTAGACAGATGTTTGAGCAACGATCGTTATGCTAAGTCCCAATCTTTTAATTTCGAGGAAGCCGCTTTAAAAAATTGTAGGGGAAAAAGCACAAAAACCCAAAAGTTTCCCCAGATCTGGGGAGATCTCCAAAATTTCGAAGGAAACCCCAAAATAATGAGATTGGAGTCCCATTGTAGTTCATGATGACCTGCGAAAGAAATTAAGGGTTATGGGTTATTAGGTCAGGTCTTTTCTTGGGCACTTCGCTACGATCAATTGCTGCCTTTCATAGGACTGATCTTCATCGTTTCTATCATTGGTGGGTACACAACACTGGATAGCATTCATCATGATCCTTTTCTTTGTTTTGAAGGATTCTTTGATGGTTCTGTATCCGTGAGATTCCCGCCCAATAAGTGCATTTCGCGCTTCTTTGGACAACATCAGAACGACTCTTTGGGTGTGTGGAGCACTTGCCTCTTCGTGACCGGAGTACAGCGGCAATTCTCTTGAATCCAATCTTTTCTGCCTAGCTTGGGTACAATCAGTTTCACTGGTTGGGATGGTGTTGCCGACTCTATGCTCAATCTTCCTCCTTTACTCGGGCTTGTGATTGTCAGTAACTCTAGAAGAGCTATAGGCGTTGCAAAAATGTAATATTTCTATAACCTCGTCTGTATGCAGTCTCGGACAATCCAAATCCAACCACTAGTTCAGGTTACATTACTTAGGAAATGATATTTTTTAACGAACCCTTATGAGTTATCATTCAATAATCTGATGGCTCCAATGACTCGAAAGAGTTGTTAAATCTATCTTACTATTCCCGGGAAAGAACATTCTAATATCCTGGACTGGTCTGCAGTCGCATATAAAAACCACAATTATGACGAACTCAAGTCAACTTCCTTGAATTTTTTGTTATGGTGGTTTTGAAATTCTTTCACACACTGACCTTATTACACATCACACACTTATGCCAATTCATTTACAATTTTTTCAATACCTCTCCTCATTATGATCATAATTTTATGGTAACATTTCAATACAAGTTATTTAGTATATATTTTACTCTTAGACGACCTCCCATCTATAAATTTAGTCTGACCATTGAATATACAAACTATTGTGATTTAGTGAATTCGACTTATCTAAGATAGGTTGGATAAACGAAGCATACAACCTGGATGCTATTGTCCTTGTAAATTGTGGTTCCGAAAAAGTTTCCTAAGACTAAGCCTTATTGTTCATCCTTTCTCACTGACCTCGTTAGCTCTTCATTCTTTCCTTTTATATCATTCGTAACTATTAGCTTCTACAATTGGTTTTAGCTACTTAGTAAACAGTAGATTTTGTCTTTATACACCTTTCTGTATGTAAGTACTACTCCTAAACCTTTGTTTAGCTCATAGATTACATCATTTTCCCCTACTTTGTTTACTTATTGTTTCACCCCATTAAAAAAAAAATCAACATGCATTTCTAACTGTATCTTCCATTTAACTACTTGTAACAACAGTCATGTGGTGTGAATTTAAATCTGTCATTATCATTCTTTGATGAACGTACTGATCTTGGTTGTGTATACACGTTTTCAAAATGAACGTTCTTAACTACCTTATTGTCCATTTTCCTAAAATGTTCATAACTTGGGACCAAGAAGTCCTTCTAAATATATTGTCAAGATGAACTCTACAAAGATTGTAGTCATTGTGACCTGACTTTCTTGGGAACTTTGGCTTATGCGTCTGTTTGTGTAAGCTTTTCATCAACTCTTCTTTTTTATACTCCAGAGAAAATAAACTGAACAGAAAAGTATCACTTTGAATCAATTTTTTATTATGCCTATACACTCGTATCTGTGTTGATTGTACAATCATGTGTACTAAGTAGTCAGTGATTGTGCTTTTTCGAACTTGCTTTAGTTTATACACCAATGATTCATGATACTGCTGCTAATAATTCTAAAGAATCAGGAATAACTACAGGAACCTCAGTAGGTTTTAAACTTTTACTGCGTTATGAAATAATGTTCAGATTCCTTCTCATGAAAACCGACCTGGTAACAATTCTTTACCATCATATCGTAGCGGAGATTTCTCTAGAACAATGAAACGAAAAGCATCTCGAATCAGTCATCATAAAGCTAAACGTGAAATGAGAAACGCACCATGGACGCCCGGTGATGATTATTTATTGATAAATTCCGTTGTCATGGTAAGTTAAATATTTTGTTGGTTAAGACAACTAGCTGCCTAAACGAAGTGTAGACTACTTCCCTATTTTATTGTTCACAAGTGCTTTTAAAATCAGTTCTTTTTGAGTTACTTTAAATATTACTAAAAGTAGAATATAGATCAGCCATTCGTTCATAGACACACTAGGAGCTGGAATAAATATATTTTCGTTGTAGTTGACGTACTGTTTTGTATAGTCAGAATTTCGACCCAAAATAATCTATTATTTCTGACCATATATATTTTATAGAAACCTCATTTGCATTATGTATGGGCTTATATACTGGACTTTGAGTTATACCTTCCCAATAATGCTAACGGCTGTCCGAAGCATAATATGTGTAGCAGGTTCCGATTATTTTATTATTATTATTTGAACACAGATATTGGTACAAGGAGACACCATATATATATGCACCACAATCATTTCGTTTTATTTGTGTGAGGGCTGAGATACTACCCGGTCGCCCAAGCCGAAGCAGGTGGTTTTCTTAGGGGGTCAGTTTTAGAGCCTTCGACCTAAAGGTTTAATCCACAAGGCAGTGAAGCAACGTCAGGAGATACAGTCCCATGGTAGCCGCTGACCAATAATTTGTTCATACGCCATTTGTTCCCCTAGGATCCTGGAGCCCACGTGACAATTGGTTTGGAATCAGGGTTTTCCAACTCCCCTCCGTATCCATTATCCCTGTTATGGCACCGGACATTAGCTTTTCTTCGTTCCAATTTCGTAAACAACATCCCCCTCCACGAGAAGGCAGTGAGTAGGTTCCGAACCTTCAACTTGTTAGTTAAAAGTCAAGTTCTCTAACTAATAACCCATCATTTTTAAAAAATGAATAAATCTAACACATTGACATAGATCCGTAACTCAAAAGTCTTAGCCTTCAACTCTCAGTTATCAAATTCCAGATTTGAAGTGACCTCATCTTCATTTTGGTCTGGTCACTAGCTGTCGCATACAGAATTGCACTTAATATCTAAGTTGTATCGAATCAATAAACGTTTAAATGAACATTCGATTATTATTCAGTTAGTGTGTAAGGAGCTGTTATTCAAGTTTATTGTGGCAAGTTAGCAAAGCGTATTGTTTTTTTAAGCAGTCATCTCCCAATCATGTTTTATAACATAAATATTTCAAATAAATATCTTGCACATAGGTATGTAACCTTACAGAAGTGTGTCACACTGTAAGATTCGCTGTTCATTTTACGGAGAAAGAAATTGAACGTCGTTGGCGTGATTTATTATTCGACCCAATCGTATCTAGGTAAGCCGATCAAAAACGTTATTTTGACTACTTTTGTATGTTAGTAAGTAGTTAATTATGCGAAACATATTTCTGTTGAAAATCACTGAGTTTATGGGATGTTTTGTAAAACAGTACCCCGTTTAAAATCGATATGTGACTGTTACAGCCTTTCAGTTAAACCATTCACCGCTAAACCCTTTCAACTAAAACTATAGTAGTCAGCTCATTAGTTACTTCAAGTTGTTCCGGAAGTAGTAGTAAGAATTCGTAACTGGTGAAATTTAGAAGTGTCAGGGTTGAAACGGTTGTCACTTGTGTCGTTGTATGGTTGTCAACGTATATCGCAAATTGAGTGGATTCGAAATTGTACCTTTAGATGCCGATTCACTGGTTCTGACAGTTATGCGTTTCATGCAATTGGTTCCCTTTATGAATTTAAATAGGGCAAGAACAAACGTTGATGCAGAATAGTATGAATTCATAATATTTCGAGGTTTCTCGTCAGCTGCTTACAAAACAAAAATGTTATAGAATTTTTTACATTTTTTACATGTCAGTCGTTTCATACTATCAATGTAAAAAATTCTATAACATTTTTGGTTTGTAAGCAGCTGACGAGAAACCTCGAAATACTATGAATTCGTACTATTCTGCATCAATGTTTGTTCTTGCTCTATTTAAGTTATGCGTTCGCCGCGAAACATGAAGGTTTTTGGTTCGGCCTCTGGTGTGATGTAGACTGTTATTGTTCTATACTAGGACGAAACAGCTGTATAGTCATCCCTGATTTTCAGCAGTACCCGAAATTAAATCAATCTGTGACAAATAGAACCTACGAATGTTGTGTTTGTTAGAGTACATGAATGTTAACATTCTTCGAAGAATGCTATTTTTAGTAATAAATTTATTTAAACACGTAAAGATTAGTACAAAGGGATACCAAATTACTTGTGCGCCACAATAAAAATGAGATTGTGAAGGGGTTAGAAAAGGAAGGTGAGCTTAATTATAGAAAAAGAACAAAAATGAATTAGTGTATAAGTGAAAATTAGTAATAACTAACAATAATAATAATAATAATAATAATAATCGGCAAGACTGTTTTAGGAGTTCTCCTAACACATGTGAAAAATGTAGAAAGTTAGCCATTGGCTTTTATTGTGAATCATGCATGATAGCGTCTCAAATCACTGTGTCGCATCATCTCTATGACCCCAACCAGGGAGTCGTGAAGGACCAACAGAAGCCAGTCCTGTACAGCTTTCTTTCATGCTACGACATGTCATGCACTGACCACCTCTTCGCTTTTTCCAATCGTTCTTAGCGTCGGGAAAGAATGCGCGATGTGAAATTCTCTGGGATGACATTCATAGTACATGTCCGAGTAACCGAACTCGTTGTTTCAAGATGATGACATCGATTGAATTATCGTCGCTGTGCCCTAACACGATTCCGAACCTCTGCGTTACTAACATGGTGTTGCCACTAGAAATCAGCAATCCTTCAGAATATTATTTATTTGAACACATAAATATTGGCACAAACAGGTGCCATATACATATGCATCACACAATCATTTCGTTTTATTTGTGTGAGGGCTGGGGTACTGCCCGGTCGCCCAAGCCGAAGCAGGTGATTTTCTTAGGGGGTCAGTTTTAGAGCCTTCGACCTAAAGGTTTAATCCACAAGGCAGTGGAGCGACGTCAGGAGATACAGTCCCATGGTAGCCGCTGACCAATAATTTGTTCATACGCCATTTGTTCCCCTAGGATCCTGGAGCCCACGTGACAATTGGTTTGGAATCAGGGTTTTCCAACTCCCCTCCGTATCCATTATCCCTGTTATGGCACCGGACATTAGCTTTTCGTCGTCTCAATTTCGTACAGAACACCTCTGCCCCAAGAGGGCAGTCCGTCGGTCAGTAACAACGTAAACTTCGTACGTACATACATAAGTATTTTCCTCTTCGTGATCAGAGTACAGTAGCACCTCTCCCGTATATAGCTTTAGCTGTCCAGCTTGGGTCCAATGGGTTTCTCTGATTCCGAGTACCACCAACTTGTATCTCCTTTCCGTTACTATTTGACTGGTCTTCTCGTTCTACCTCATTGTCGGGACGTTCCACGTACCCATAAAAGTTGTTGCTCTGGTTGTTAGAAGGGGCTAACAAGAAAAAATAATTCAAACTATTTAAACTAAGTGTCATAGTTTCACAGAAATTAATCCATTTCTGTTTCTTTATTCAAATAAGCTTTAGTCAAACTTGTAATGTTTTTATATACCCACCTCTGTCTCTATCTCTCCTTCTACCCACCTTCTTTTAGCACTGCGCTGAAAGCAATCGAGCACCTTCCTTCGTTTATGAAATCCCAATTAGATAGACAAATACCATTCAGTTCACAAGAGGATAATATTATAGCTCAAATTTCTTTCTCCGATGTCTATCCAGACGGTGTGTTCAAATCGCTTAATATACATAGTCTGGTAAGTATTGATTTGTTGTGATAGTATAAGTTTCTTGTTTCTTTGTTTTTTCTCATGGATAGTACTATGAAAAGTTGTGTATATGACATAGCTTCAGTTGTAAAATATCACTAATTTATTAAGTTATTTAGTGATGAGTTCACTGGACTCGGTAGTTAAGTGAATAACTCATTGGGCGTTTGAAGCGAAAGGTACTGGGTTCGAGCTCCAGAAAAAACACTAAATCTAGGATGTAGGTTCATCCAGCTGACAAGTTTCAAATAGTATAAAACGTTCGTCTTAGATTCCACTAGTAGTCATAATTTATCTGTGCTTTGAAATACTTTTCGTGTTATTGTTATAGAGTTCGTGTGAATTTATAGTCCTAAAAGTATAAAATCTGCTCTTTAATACTTCGACTTATTATAATTAGTAGTAGTACGAAAAGAGGGAAAAATACAACACGTGCATATACCTACGGAGCAACAATTTCTGAAAAATCGCACTAAATAAATAATAATGAATAAACATTGAGCCTGTGAAAAGAGACTACTGAACTAATAATTAGCTAATAACAGTCAGATGAATTTCACGCTGCTTTGTAACCGGACTCACCCAAGTTTTTTAATGTTTAAAGAGAGAAATGCGGACTTATTAGCTTAATTATGAATGATAACGGTGTGTACACAGTATCTAAAATCTTGATGAAAGTGTCATCAAAGCCTGATGGATGTAAACTTGGTATCGTCCAACCTAGAGTAAACAAAGATGTTATTCACGAGTTTCAAAATGTTGTTCAGACTTAACGTATGCATGTGCAAAGAATTTTCTGCTCAGTTACTGATACCAGCTCGGAAAATGCAGAATACCAAACAGTTGTCTCATATTTCTGGTTTAGGATTGTTCAACAGAAGGATATTACATGTGTCCAAACTGTTTTGTTCCAAAGTCTGATCTGGTTTCAATATACAGTTCCACACAACAGCAAACCCTATTGTACTGATGAAAGGAATGAAATGAATAGTAGGAAGTTTTAATTGCTAAACCCAATGATTGGTTTATAAATTTGTCTTGAAAACTCAGACAAAAAAAACGTTGGGTGAGACTTTGAGTAGGTTGTATATCCCGTTTTCTAAATTCAGGCAGATTAATCATCCCACTTTTTTGGTAATTTTTGTACACCTATTCTCTCGAGCAGTGTTACGATGGTATGAGAAAAAAGCTTGAAAGTTAGATGTATAATTGCCATATTATTTTATGCTCTCTTACAAATAATTATGGGCTTTTACCGTTGTGCACATATACGTATACGTATATTCGGACACCTTTGTTTGAGGATTGTGGATCGAATCTTAATACTTTATTTCAGTTCAAGACGTTTTATATAATATAATATGTCTTGACATCATACCGGTCGTCTGTGCCTTGGCAGCGTGATCACTTTACTTGAAGATAAATTTAGAATGGATTGCATTACATTTATTCATTCGCCAAGGATTTGGCTACGTGCCACACTCCAGGTATGGGGGCTGATGATAGCCCATCCTGGCCCTCAGACAGAAGTAGGCTTGGCAGGGTTCGGATTTGGAACTTAGTGTTTAGAAGTCGAAGGCCTTAACCGCTAGATCAGTCAGTCAGTCAGTCAGTCAGTAACAGCATAGAACTTCGTACGTACATACATCAGTTCGGGTCGCCATATCACATTAGCGCAGAAATACAGTTGTTCATTCAAATCTCATAGTGGTAGAGGTATTAAAAGTATCAGCAGTAATCCGAACGATTAAGGTTTAAAGATGTTATTCAAGGAGTATAATCCAGTGAAATAAATTTGGAAAGAGAAAAAAGAAAGGGACATGAAGAATTCAGAAGATTAGAATTTGGGAGAACACAAAGAGTGGATGCACCTGCGCCACTGCAAACGATTTTGAGCCATGTCATTCAAAGTCTCTAATAATCGGTTGCTATCATCTCGCGGTCCCCAACCAGCTAGTCTACACCTACCAATATGACTCAGTCTAATTGTCAGTGACTTCATGGACTTGTGCCATGTTTTGGTCTGTCCGCCCCTAGCTTTCTTCCAACCAACTCTAACACCATAAAACATCTCACGTCGGGGCAGTCGGTGGTTGGGCATACGTAACACGTGTCCCAGCTATCTCAACTGATGAAGTTCCATTACTTCATCAATTGATTTGCCATCCTTACCTAGTACCCGTTTCCTAACAACTGCATTACTTACTCGATGGTCCCAGGATATACGAGCAATATTTCGAAGGCACCTATGATCAAATACTGGTAACCTACGAATATCCTCTACTCTTGCCGGCCATGTTTCACTGCCATAAAGTAGGACGGAACGAACTGCTGCGCAGTAAACACGTTCTTTGGTTGATAGACGGATATCTCGCCTACGCCATAAATGACGTAAGTTGGCAAAAGCTAGTCGAGCCTTCTCGAAGCAAACAAGCAAGTGAAGAGGAGCATTAGAGCCGACAAGAAGAAATACGTGGAAGAATTAGCAGCGACGGCGGAAAAAGCTGCTAGAGAAGGAAATATGAAACAGCTTCACGATACAACGAAGAAACTAGCAGGGAAATACAGTAAACCAGAGAGGCCGGTCAAAGACAAAGAAGGCAAGCTAATCACCGAAATTCAACAACAGCGTAACAGATGGGTAGAATACTTCGAGGAACTCCTGAATAGGCCGGCTCCAATGAATCCACCGGACATCGAAGCAGCACACATAGATCTTCCTATAGATGTCAACCCACCAACGACGGAAGAAATCAGAATGGCCGTCAGACAAATCAAGAACGGGAAAGCAGCAGGACCCGACAACATACTAGCTGAAGCACTGAAACCAGACATCGAAGCAACCACAAGCATGCTTTATCTTCCATTCAAAAGGATTTGGGAGGAGGAACAAATGCCGACCGACTGGAAAGAAGGACACCTCGTCAAGATTCCAAAGAAAGGAGATCTGGGCAAATGTGAAAACTACAGAGGCATTACACTACTGTCAATACCAGGGAAAGTCTTCAACAGAGTTTTGCTGAACCGGATGAAAGACACAGTAGACGCCCAACTTCGAGATCAACAAGCTGTATTCCTTAAGGATCGGTCGTGCACAGACCAAATTGCAACACTACGGATCATCGTCGAACAATCAGTTGAGTGGAACTTATCACTATATATCAACTTCATTGATTATGAAAAGGCATTCGACAGTGTAGATAGGAGGACATTATGGAAACTTCTTCGACACTACGGAGTTCCTGAGAAGATTGTCAATATTATCCGGAACTCATACGACGGACTACAGTGCAAGGTCGTGCATGGAGGACAGCTGACAGATGCATTCCAAGTATGGACCGGAGTCAGACAAGGCTGTCTACTCTCTCCCTTCCTCTTTCTTCTGGTGGTCGACTGGATTATGAAGACCTCGACTTCTGAGGGAAAACACGGAATAGATTGGACAGCTCAAGACCAATTAGACGATTTGGACTTCGCAGATGACCTAGCCCTCCTATCGCATACACATGAACAAATGCAGATGAAGACAGCCAGTGTAGCAGCAGTCTCTGCATCAGTAGGCCTCAGTATATACAAAGGGAAAACCAAGGTCCTCAAGTTCAAAGCGGATAACAGCAATCCAATCACTCTTGATGGCGAAACTCTGGAAGATGTGGAATCCTTCACATACCTGGGAAGCATAATCGATGAACAAGGAGGTTCAGATGCAGACGTAAAGGCGAGGATCGGCAAAGCAAGGGTTGCATTCCTACAATTGAAGAACATATGGAACTCAAAACAACTTTCAACCAATATCAAAGTGAGAATCTTCAATACGAACGTCAAGGCAGTTCTACTGTATGGAGCTGAAACTTGGAGAACTACAACAACCACAATCAAGAAAGTACAAGTATTTATAAATAGCTGTCTACGCAAGATACTCAGCATCCATTGGCCGGATACCATCAGCAATAGCCTTCTGTGGGAGAGAACAAACCAACTTCCAACTGAAGAAGAAATTAGGAAAAGACTATGGAAATGGATAGGACATACATTACGCAAATCGTCAAACTGCATCACGAGGCAAGCCCTAACTTGGAATCCTGAAGGGAAGCGGAAAAGAGGAAGGCCAAAGAACACATTGCGTCGGATAATAGAAGCAGATATGAAAAGGATGAATTACAACTGGACGGAGCTAGAAAGGATTGCCCAGGACAGGGTTGGATGGAGAATGCTGGTGAGCGGCCTATGCCCCTTCACGAGGAGTAACAGGTCTAAGGAAATAAGTAAGTACTGCATCTCTGTGCTAATTTGGTGTGGCAACTCGAACTGATGTACGTACGGACGAAGTTCTACGTTGTGACTGACTGACTGACTGACTATGACGCCTCATGATGAGAGTCGAGTTCCTTCGGAAGTCACGAGGCCCGTGCCCCTTCTGACAACCAGAGCAACTATTTATTTAGGTACATGGAATACTCGTACAATGTGGGAGACCGGGAGAGTTTTCCGAATTGCTGCAGAAATAAGGAGATACAACCTGAAGGTGCTTGGGGTCAGTGAAACACATTGGACGCAGGTTGGACAACAACGAATAGCTTCAGGGGAGCTTCTGCTATACTCCGGCCATGATGAAGAAAATGCTCCACAAGCACAAGGAGTTGCATTGATGCTGTCCAAGGAAGCACAAAATGTACTTGTGGGGTGGGAATCTCATGGACCAAGGATCATCAAAGCCTCGTTCAGAACAAAGAAAGAGGGCATTACAATGAACGTCATCCGACGCTACGATTGGCTGAAGTCAATTGTCGAGAAGTGCCCAACAAAGAAGTTGACCATTCTGATGGGAGATCTAAATGCAAAGGTTGGAATGGCTAACACCGGATATGAAGACATCATGGGACGACATGAACTAGGAGAAAGGAACAAAAATGGTGAGAGATTTACAAACTTATGTGCCTTCAATAAACTGGTCATATGCGGCACTATATTCCCACACAAATGCATACACAAAACCACATGGACTTCACTGGCTCACACTACGCAGAACCGAATCGACCATATCTGCATCGACAAAAAGTTCAGGAGGACGATGGAGGATGTGAGAACCAGAAGAGGAGGTGATGCAACATCAAATCATCACTTGCTGGTCGCCAAAATGAAATTGAAACTTAAGAAGCACTGGACAGCGGGGCGGACAACATCACAGGATTCTAGTACGGGTTTTCTTTGGGATACTGACAAACTCAACAAATTCAAGATAGCCCTCAGCAATAAGTTCTAGGCCTTCCATGATCTATTCAGTGGAGAGGGAACCACTATCGAGAGCAACTGGGAAGTGATAAACGAGGCAATAACATCAACATGTCATGAGGTTTTGGGCCACAAGAAGCACCATCACAAGGAATGAACCACTGTTGATACACTGGATTAGATTCAAGAAAGGAGGAACAGCAAGGCAGCAATCAATACCTGTCGAACAAGAGCAGAGAAAGCCAAGGCAGAAACTGAATACACAGAAGTAAACAAGCAAGTGAAGAGGAGCATCAGAACCGACAAACGCAAATATATGGAAGATTTAGAAATGACGGCAGAAATGGCTGCAAGAGAAGGAAGCACACAGGTGGGTAGAGCACTCCAAAAAACTCTTGAATCGACCTGCCCCACTGAACCCCCCCTAACATCGAAGTAGCACCCACGGACCACCCAATCGATGTTGGCCCACCAACAGTCGAAGAGATCAGGATGACTATCAGACAAATCAAGAGCGAAAAAGCATCAGGACCAGACAACATTCCGAAAGAGGCACTGAAAGCAGACGTAGCAGTAACTGCAAAGATATTCCACATTCCCTTCAGTAAGATTTGGGATGAGGAACAAGTACCAACAGACTAAAAAGGACTTCTGGTCAAAACACCAAAGAAAGGCGATCTCAGCAACTGTGATAATTACAGGGGCATCACTCTTCTCTCAATACCGGGAAAAGTCTTCAACAGAGTATTGTTAAACAGAATGAAGGACTCCACAGACACCCAACTTCGTGACCAACAGGCGGGATTCCGTAATGATCGGTCGTGTACAGACCAAATCGCAATACTACGGATCATCGTGGAACAATCAATTGAATGGAATTCAACACTCTACATCAACTTCATTGACTACGAAAAAGCATTTGATGGCGTGGACAGGACATCACTATGAAAGCCTCTTCGACACTACGGCGTACCTGAGAAGATAGTCAATATCATGCGGAATTCCTATGATGGATTAAACTGCAAAATCGTGCATGGAGGACAGTTGACAGACTTGTTCGAGGTAAAGACCGTTGTCAAGCAAGGTTGCTTACTCTCACCCTTTCTCTTTCTCCTGGTGATCGACTGGATCATGAAGACGTCAACGTTTGAAGGGAAGCGCGGGATACAATGGACATCTAAGATGCAGTTGCATGATCTAGACTTCGCAGACGATCTGGCCCTTCTATCCCAAACGCAACAACAGATGCAGGAGAAGACGAACAGTGTGGCAGCAGCCTCAGCAGCAGTAGGTCTCAACATACACAAAGGAAAAAACAAATATCTCCGTGTTATCTCCCGTTAAGCATAATGAATGGTAACTTCTAGGATCCATTTACGAATCAATACTAAACGTATATTTTTATCGTATAATTGTTAAATAACTAAACTATTTATACAGCAGAGGCTCGGATTGGTGTTCTGGACTTAACTGACTGGACTAAACAGGAAGCGAGACCAATCAGGAATTTAGACTGCTCATACGGGTTTACGCGTCATTGATCCGATCGATAAGTCACTGCTCTCTAATTGGCGGTATCATTAATTATCCACTAACAGGTCACACTCAGGCCACAAGTTATAACACTCCGATTCAACACAGCATGCAATAATCGAATGACACTTGACGGTGAAGATTTGGTAGATGTAAAAACCTTTACACATCTGGGCAGCATCATTGATGAACATGGTGGATCTGATGCAGATGTGAAGGTACGTTCGGCAAAGCAAGAGCAGCATATTTACAACTGAAGAACATCTGGAACTCAAAACAATTGCCAACCAACACCAAGGTCAGAATTTTCAATATAAATGTCAAGACAGTTCTACTGTATGGGGTGGACACACATTGAGGGAAGCACCCAACTGCGTCACAAGGCAAGCCCACACATGTGATCGTCAAGGCCAAAGGGGAAGACGAAGAGCAAAGAACATATTACGCCGAGAAATGGAGACAGACATGAGACGAATGAACAAAAATTGTATAGAACTGGAAAGGAAGGCCCAGGACAGAGTGCATTGAAAGATACTGGTCGGCGGCCTATGCTTCATTGGGGGTAACAGGCGTAAGTAAGTTAACGACCTGGGAGCGTGACCACAGAGCCCAAGGGACAAATGCTTGAGGCCGGTCGCGCACGGCCTTTTTGTGGGAAGCTTTTTCGAAAATAGTAACTGTGATGGGTAAAAGTATTTGAATTATTATACGAATTAGGAATCCTCGAAATAGCGTAATTAAGGCCAAATAGAACTAAGTGAACGCAAATAAACATATTGTATTTGGAATTCGAAATCAGGCAGTCACCAAGTACAAATGAATCATTAGTTCATACAAAAACCACGGTAATGCATGAACGACTTACTCTAATTGCTTGTAATTTCTCACCTTCCGTCTGACCCTGAGGTTGTGTAAAGGCATAAGCATATGGTATGTATATGGGATGACCCAGTCTGTATTTGGGAATATCTTTTGATTTAAAACTTACATGACGAGGAGCCCCCATGGTGGGAATTTAGAAGTAAAAAAATCTGGAAATTAAAATTTCACTCAATAAAAATAACATCAGATAGTGAGTAAGTATTGCGATTTTCTATAGCTTTGAATATCTTTTCCAACATGAGGTTGATTTGTTAACGGTAAATTAGAAAATACTATTAGAAAAGAGATAAATCTGAGTAAATTATATAAATACGAGAGGTTTCAAAAATGTGGAAAATAGTTTCTGATATGTTTTTAGATATAAATAGTTCGGGATAGGTGGATTATGAGTAACAGGGAAATAGTGAACACAATTTTCACCTTATTTCAAACTCCTCATCTGAATGTACCTTGATCTCAGTGTTGATGTTCACATTACCACTCGAACCTTTCGTTTCAAATGTCAGCGGATTACCTACTGAGCTTCTTACTGCGTTTGAGTCTCAGTGCGAATACCTACACCGCGGTGCTGACCCATCCAACTAACGAGTTCAAAATAGGACTAAAGGAGTATTATGAATTCCAGTACCAGGCGAAATCCATCTGATCCATAAACATTGTAACAAAATGGCTATATCGAGGCTATTTGCACAGGATGCATATATACCAACAAAGGCTGTTTAAATTCACTCCTGAATATCAAACAACGGGATAATTCAAATCCTTACTACTAATAATAACATAAATAAACAAGGTTTAAACCTTTTGATGTTGATGGTTATAGAAAAGACGTTTTGTCATATCACAAACTGATCCTAACGAGACCATTAATGAAACCTGAGAGCACTGGACGGCCGTTTCCTCCTGGTATGGGACTCTCCAGCAGTGCCTATCCACGACTCGGCGTCGGGGATCGGACCGTGGGTCTTCAGTTCCGCGCCTGATGTTAGATATGTACATTGTTAGATGCCACCTCAGTGGTCTATAGGTCGTGTTAGCGCGCGATACGGAAGTTCCTGGGTATGATTTCCTGATGCAGGGTCGCAGCTGCGCACTGTTAGGCGGTCCCATACTAGAGTGAAACGGCAGTTCACTCTTTCTCAGGCTTCAATGGTGGTCTAGTTAGATCAGTTCGCGATTTAAATTATGAAAATTCTACAATCTTCACAAATCCCTCCACACTAATTTAATAAGATTTCCTTAGAGGTTTGGATTAAAATCATATCGGTTATTTTTTGATGCTTATTGTTTTTTAATATATCCATACGAACCGGTGATAGGTATGGTTGATTGTAACATAAGGTGGGATCTTGTCCTTCTTTGGACAGTGTAAAGTAGTCATATTCCTTTGTACCTTGCTGAGTAGATTGACTCTTCCACATAACTGAATTATAATGAATAATTACCCCAGCTGTTTTGTTGAAAGTTTTCCAATTAGAAATTTAATGAATATACGTGACTGATTTCTGCACGTGTTTTCTTTCATTCGTTATCCTAGAATCCCTCCATATTTACAGAAATTTTACGCAAATATCCAACAGTATTCTACCATGGACGAGATGAACTAGATTTATATCGTCAGTGGTGTCGTTTCTACAGTTGCCATTGCATCGTTGTAAAAGATGGTGTAAAGTTGAAGTCAATACCTAACTTTAACACCTCATTATCGACTTCACCAGATGTCAAAACAACAGGTGCGACGACAACAGCAATAAAAAATTGTGATGGTATATCTTTGCTGAAAAATGTTGGTTATTCTAATTCTATAGCATTAGGTGGTGATCCACAAAGTTTTTCTGATACAGAATTATTATTAGAGGAGACAGTAACCAATGCAGTCGTTGCAGGAATCCCTAAATTAACTGAACCATCGACAGTGTCACGTAGACAACATATGCTAAATCAAACATCATATCATGGTTTCCAAGGTCTTGTTACACAAACAGTCTTGGAAGTACTCCTTAAAGAATATTCTAGTCAATTAAATGATTCACTTGTACATCCTAGTCTACAGCATCACTCTTCTCCGACTTCTGCCGCTTCTTCTTCTTCTTCAACAACAACGTCCAGTACACGTGGAGCAATAGCAACAGGTCTAGAGTTGAAATCGTCAATCGACCATGATCAGAGTCACTCACTACTAATACAAGAAACAAGTAATAAATCACATTTATTGTCCTTTATAAGTTCATCACCTGTACCACCATTACTAAGTAATCAAGAATTTGATTTTAAAGTAAGTATTTTTCTACTCTAATTATTGAGTAGTTGTGTTGTTGCTGTAAGTGAGGAAGTAGAAATCTATTCTTCAAAACTATGGTTTATTATAATAGGCGTAGTCAGCTATTTTTCAGTCATTTGCTCACAGTTTTGATTACTGTTACAGCTAACCTATTGTTTTGACAACGTCAACTAATTTTGTTCCAATCAACTTTATCTTGGGCTCTCTTTCCCAGTTAGTGTTAGGTGCCATTCATGGTCCTAATGTCCACGTTAAAGTATCACAGCCATGTGTTTTTTACTCTATTTCTTTTCCTTCCTTGTGGATACCAAGTTGCGAATAACCTCAACTTACTAGTCCAGTTCAATAGTTAACGAAAAACCCTCGATTGTTATCATCCTTTGTTATATTTCTCTCTTACAGGTTATGACCCAGCTATTCCTATTGTTTAGTATTCTCGTACACCGATTCACTCGACAAGTCCCCAAATCAGAACACGGTTGAACAGGAAAGAGATTATATTCCAAATAACAAGGTTAGGTGGAAGTAAGAAGCACAATATGGAAAACGTTAGTATATTTATAGTTTTTACATGAAAAGATTCTAGAGTATTCTCCAAGTATCGACTAGTGCTGATTAGATAAGAATTAACCAATCAGCGTGCACCAAAGCAATCGTGCATTGAGCATGCTTTAACCCAGTCTATGTCCCGCTAACATCCTTAAATCGTCTGTTCATTCAATCGTATTTCTATAGGTGAAAATGTATGGAGTTAATTTTCGCAGAAAAATACGACTACTTATTTTGGTAGATTTTTTTAGTCGAATAAGATTGACACGATACTGTAGGAATCTATCATTGAACCAAGAAACTTACGATTTCACAAACACTAGTTACCTATGTAATATTATCAATTTAAACCAAAGTACACAAACCATATGATAAACTAAACGTTCTACAATAGACTTCATAAACAAAAGTAATTGACCAACTTGTGTTAGTTATTAAAAAAACAAGAGGCGAGACTATAATTTATGATCAGTCAGTCAATCAGCTACAGCGTAGAACCAGGCACATATATGGATCAGTCCAAGTTGCTACACCTCATTAGCACAACAACTTACTTACTTACTTACGCCTGTTGCTCCCAATGGAGCATAGGCCGCTGACCAGCATTCTCCAACCCACTCTGTCCTGGGCCTTCTTTTCTATTTCCATCCAATTCTTGTTCATTTTTCTCATGTCTGTCTCCATTTCTCGGCGTAATGTGTTCTTTGGTCTTCCTCTTTTCCTTTGACCTTCAGGATTCCATGTGATTGCTTGTCTTGTGACGCAGTTGGGTGCTTTCCTCAATGTGTGTCCTATCCACTTCCAGCGCTTCTTCCTGATTTCTTCCTCCACTGGGATCTGGTTTGTTCTCTCCTACAGTACTTCCGTCAGTGACACTTATTGACAAATGTCGATTTGTGCATCATGTTTGGCCAACAGATTGTTATCCACAGAATCCTTCAGCATCAAGTCCTAAAACAGTTTCACAGCGGGCACCCGGAAATAAGTAAAATGAAAGCATACTTATCAAGTCGTATCAAGGTAATAGAAAACAGACACCAGGTATTATTGAACATCAGATTGGAAATGTAATGTACTTAGTCCGAAGTGTCAGGACTTGTATAGGACATATCAGTCAAATTCAAATGAATGGTAGAACAAAGATTATATAAAGCCGGATCCGGTCCCAAATGCTCGTGGATTCATTTCAAAAGAGCCCTAAAATGAACGAAAGCAGAAGATATAAAAGACAAAAGGGTAAAACAGTACAACCTTCAAAAGTGAGGGATCACATGAAGAATGAGGTAACCAAGTTTCAAGTGGACCCGAGCAGAGAGTCTTACACAAGAGACCCTAAAACGTGGAGGTGTAGGCACGGTTCCCGGTGAACTCAGGGAAGCTCTAAAAAGCTTTGAATGACTCAATGACGTTCTATCCAATCATCGTTTCGGAGGACATTCCAAAACCTCAGAGTGTAGCTCCCCGATCGGATAAAGGCTAAAAAGCACTGCATGCAGATTGGATGACTGTAATGATGATCAGTCCAAGTTGCTACACCTCATTAGCACAACAACTTACTTACTTACGCCTGTTGCTCCCAATGGAGCATAGGCCGCTGACCAGCATTCTTCAACCCACTCTGTCCTGGGCCTTCTTTTCTATTTCCATCCAATTCTTGTTCATTTTTCTCATGTCTATCTCCATTTCTCGGCGTTATGTGTTCTTTGGTCTTCCTCTTTTCCTTTGGCCTTGAGGATTCCATGTGAGGGCTTGTCTTGTGACGCAGTTGGGTGCTTTCCTCATTGTGTGTCCTATCCACTTCCAGCGCTTCTTCCTGATTTCTTCCTCCACTGGGATCTGGTTTGTTCTCTCCCACAGTACGTTGTTGCTAATAGTGTCCGGCCAACAGATCTGAAGTATTTTGCGTAGACAATTGTTAATAAACACCTGTATTTTCTGGATGATGGCTTTCGTAGTTCTCCAGGTTTCTGCCCCATACAGTAGAACTGTCTTGACATTTGTATTGAAAATTCTGACCTTGGTGTTGGCTGGCAATTGTTTTGAGTTCCAGATGTTCTTCAGTTGTAAATATGCTGCTCTTGCTTTGCCGAACGTACCTTCACATCTGCATCAGATCCACCATGTTCATCAATGATGCTGCCCAGATGTGTAAAGGTTTTTACATCTTCCAAATCTTCTCCGTCAATTGTGATTGGATTGGTGCATTCTGTGTTGTATCGGAGAATCCTGCTTTTCCCTTTGTGTATGTTGAGACCTACTGCTGCTGAGGCTGCTGCCACACTGTTCGTCTTCTCCTGCATCTGTTGTTGCGTTTGGGATAGAAGGGCCAGATCATCTGCGAAGTTCTAGATCATCCAACTGCATCTTAGATGTCCATTAGCACAACAAGACGGACACGAAATTCATAGAGGTAGTTACTTCAATGGTAGTAGTATATAAAAGAAAGATTGTGTATAAGGATATAATACAGTAAGAAAGAATTAGTTCGCAGAAATGTATAAATTAATTTTAATCTCACGCTTTAACTAGAGACGCAATTGTGATCGGTTCTGTGCCATGTCACCAAGAGTCTCCAACCATTGCTTACGATAGTCACGCGGACCCCGACCAAGTATTCTGCATCTACCAACATGGTTAAGACTAAAAGTTAGTGACTTCAGGCACTGATGCCACGTTTTGGTTTGGCCGCCCCTAATTCTCTTCCAACCATCTCTAACACCCGTTAGCATTGCACGTCGTGGTAATCGGTGTTCAGGCATACGTAATACGTGGCCCAAACATCTCAGTCGACGAAAATTCACAACTTCATCAACTGGTTTACCATCATTCCCTAATACCCTACGTCTAACCTCACTATTACATACCCAGTGATCCCCGCAGATGCAAGCAATATTTCTAAGGCATCCGTGATCAAATACTAGTAGCTTACGAGTGTGTTCTATCCTTAATGGCCATGTTTCGCTGCCGTAAATTAAAAAAGGACGAACTGCCGCGCAGTATACTCGTCTTTTAGTTGATAGACGAATATCTCGCCTTCGCCATAGGTGATGTAAGTTGGCAAAAGCCAAACGAGCTTTCTGAATCCGTACAGAGGTTTCGTCAGACTCGAACCTATTAGGGCTGATCAGACTTCCAAGACAAGTGAAGTTGTCAACGTATTCGACTACTTCATTCCCTTGCTTTAGTTCAGGTGTTGATGCAGGCCAGTCCTGAAGCAACAACTTGCATTTAGAGGGAGAAAAGCGCATCCCAAATATTCTGGCATTGTTCCTCAGTCCTACCAGATGACTTTGCATTTTATCAGCGTCTTCACCGAACAGGACTATGTTATCTGTATATACTAAGTCGATAAGTGGACCTCCTGGAAGGATATCAATACCCGAGAATTCAGTCGACGAGAGCATTATTTCCATTAGTAGGTCTATGATGAAGTTAAACAGAAACGGAGAAAGTGGACAGCCTTGACGGAAACCACTTGAGGTTGCAAAAGCAGATGACAGTTCGCCATAAGCTCTGACTCGACTGGTAGTGTACGAGTAAAAAGCCTTCACAAGGTTTATGTACTTCTGAAGTACGCCTTTCAATGACAGACACTGCTACAGAATCTCGCGGTCTACCGAGTCAAATGCTGCTTTTAAGTCAAGAAAGACCACCATTGTCAAACGCCTATGAGTATGCCTGTGTTCTTGAACCTGACTAATGGTGAATATGTGGTCGATACAGCCACGACCAGGTCTGAAGCCAGCTTGATTCTCTCGTGTTTGCAGTTCACGAGTCTTTGTTACGCGTCCGATAATTATTGATTCTAGTAATTTAGATGCTATGTTAGTCAAACTAATCCCTTTATGGTTGTCACAGGATGATTATGACCCTCTCTTATATATTGGGATGATAAGTGATTGTGACCAGTCTCTCGAGTTTGTAGTTCACGAGTCTTAGTTAGGCGTTTGATAATTATCGAGGCCAGTATTTTAGATACTATGTTTGTTAAACTAATCCCTTTGTGGTTGTCACAGCATGATTTTGACCCTTTCTTATATATTGGGACGATAAGTGATTGCGACCAGTCAGATGGGATAAAGTCTAATTCCCAGATCTTAGCTAAAATATTAGTCAACCTAATCGCTAAAATTGGAAGACACCCGTAAGCTACTAGTATTTGACCACAGATGCCTTAGAAATATTGCTGGCATATGCTGGGATCACCGGGTAAGTAATAGTGAGGTTAGACGCAGGGTATTAGGTAATGATGGTAAATCAGTTGATGAGGTTATGAATCTTCATCGACTGAGATGGTTGGGCCACGTATTACGTATGCCTGAACACCGATTACCACGACGTGCAATGCTAACCGGTGTAGGGGATGGTTGGAAGAGAATTAGGGGCGGCCAAACCAAAACGTGGCATCAGTGCCTGAAGTCACTAACTTTTAGTCTTAACCATGT